TCGCTTGGATGCACCCCGTGCAGCTGAAGCACCTGCAGAGAGCGATGCTTCCACCATGTCGGAAACTCCTCCTCCGCCCTATCCTCCCATATTCTACCGCGTAACGTCATCATATTTTCGAAGGTCATTGACAATCTGCGCAACATTGGAGCTGCCCTCAGCAAGATCGTGCACTGCAGCATGAATTTAACGGGGGTACACATATGTATGGACAGATCCAACACGGTGAGCTTTTCAAACAGCAGCCATTCTGGGACATGGAGAGGTTGCTTAGGACGCTGATTTGTCGTCCTGTTGTACTTGAGAAACTGTAATCGGGGTGCAAACAGTTTTAATTCAGTAGGAGACCACGGGATGAAGCATTGGTGGGTGTGACCTATCCCGTAGTAACAAAGCTGCAGCTCCTGGAGTTGAGGAAGGTCGCGCAGGAAGAAGACCGCTGGCTCGGCTGATACTGTACGCACCTCCAGACTATGAAGACCCGGAGCAGAGAAGAGACTGATACTCCTACAACCGTGATCCGAGATTGGAAACCAGAATGTCAGCTTCTGGAGATTGTTGTTGTTGGGACAATAAACTCTGACCGCTGTATTATCGCCGTGGAAAGTGCAATCGGTGAGGGAGAAGCGTTGCAGAGAGGGACAGTAGTAGAAGATATGTTCCAGGGTTCCTTTCGGAATCGCGGCCAAGCGTTGGAATTCCAAAACCTCGAGGCGACTGAGGTTTTGGGTGCGGAGGAAATCAGGGGTGAAGAGAGGGACAGGGATCCCGCCATTGAGATCGTCGCGCTAAGAGTGGGTGAAGTAGGACAGGAGGGTCAGCCGCTTGACTCGCTCGGCGAAACCGAATTCGATCCACCTCCACCCGGCCTCTTGCATCTGGTACAGCTTGAACCCGATCTTCAACCCGTCCAATCTGGTTCTGGATTGTTGGACCCAACTGATGGCCTGGTCGACCCGATCCACGAACCGCCGCTGCGATTCCGGTGTGACGTCAGCATCGGACTTGTCGAAATCCAGAACCGGGGAGTCGATCAGTTGCCACATGTACCTCCACCGTTTCCCCAGCATGCTGCTGCATCTCGCCGCTTCGTTCAGGGTGATCGCCGACCGGGAAAGTATCTCCACCGCTAACTCTTCCGGCAGTTTTGCGAATTGGTCTGCAGCTTCGACCACCGACGTCCCCATTTTGCCACGATCTAGGTCTAGATGTAGATTCACATCCAAGCCTTATTTGTTTATATGTCCAGGCTCCCTTCTCCTTTCCTTTTCCTGAAAGAAGATTGTTTCGTTTTATTTGTCCTTTCCATCTCCGGAATCGGACACCGACGACGAAGCCAACTTCTCAATCCTAAACGTATGACTCGGGATGGAAACTGGTTACCTTTTTCTTGTAACACGGTGGAGGAAAACTATGGAGGTGGGAGTCAGGGAAGGCTTTACCTTGTGGTTGTTGGCCGCCGTCGATTGCTGAACCCAGCTACGGTCTTGACTTTGGTTTCCAACTTCACAAAAATACTACTTTGGTCAGAATTTTGCGAATGCCCAGATTATACATTATTTATACAATTTTGGTCGGACATCTTGGTTGACTGTCAAGTTGGACGATCAACGGGCCTAGCCGGTATCATGTAAAAAAATCAATTAATATTTTTATAAGTTATTTTATTTATTTATCTTATATTTTTTCTTAATTCTTTCAAACCACCAACCAGATGCCACAAAATTCGATTGATCCGTCTTTGAGACCCTTTCCCCAACCACTTACAGCGACAGGGGACCCTTCTCGAACGTCTTTCTCCGCCTAGGCCCCCATACCTACGAGGTCCGAATCTCCACCGTTCTATGGATCTATTTTCTTAAATGAATCAGAGATTTTTCCTTTTACCTTTATATTTCATAAAATCATACCAGAGCTTGAGCTGCCCCTAAGAAATTTAGGGAGCTGCTAGGGTTAGCAGTCGAGTAAAAGAAAGAGAAGGAGATCTGAAAATGGCGATGAATTGGAGCAGGAATCGCAGAGTGGAAATCTGATCCACCTGCTGTTTATATAGTTGGTAACATTCTACAGTAAAAACAAAAGTAACGGTAATTTAAAATAGAGTAAATGTAGGCATACACGTGGCACTACTTGATTGATAATAAAAGCACTTAAACAACTAGCATTAAAACGCTCCCATTTCGTTCTTCGTTTCTTCTTCATTTCAAAGACTTGTAGTCTCCTCTGCTCCATCAGTACAACTTCATTGAACCTTTATTTCTTCATGGTCTTGACGGCTGGATTGATGCTTTGACACTCCCCCACAAGTTGGCGAGTACATGTCTATAACTCCCAATTTGCGAAGTAAATAAACAAGCCTGTAACGAGTCACTCCTTTGGTGAACAAATCAACCAACTCATCATTAGTTCTTACATTACTTAACTTGATCATACCAGACTTCAGTCTCTTCCGGGTAATGTGGCAATCAATCTCTATGTGTTTGGTCTTCTCATGGAAGACAGGGTTTTTCAGCAATATGAATGGTTGACTTGTTTTCACGGAACACCTCAATTGAAAGAGGAACATTGATTCCCATTTCAGCAAAAAGAATTCTGATCCATTGCAATTCACACACCAACTGAGTTAATGCTCTATATTCTGGTTAGAGGAGGATCTAGAAACTGTAGTAAGCTTTTTGGATTTTCATGTTAACAAGAATTCACCAAGCATGGTACAATATCCAATTACTGACCACATTATATCTAGACAACTTGCCTAGTCTAAATCAAAAAATCCTTGTAACTCAAACTTGGTTTCAACTTTAAACAACAAACCTGACCTGGTGGATGCTTCAAATATCTTAGCACTCTGAATGTAGCTTGTAGATGTTCTGTGTAGGGATCTTTTTGAAATTGGTAGAGTTGCTAAACTAGATAAGTCAAATCGGGCCTTGTTATTGTCAGATAATGAGGTCTGCCTATGAGCCTCTTGTATACTTCTGGATTAGGTAAAGGCTCACCTTGCTTATTTGACAACTTAACTTTATAATCAACTGGTGAGAGACAGTCTTTGGCTTCCATATACCTCACATCATCCAAGAGACCCATACAATACTTTCTTTAATTGAAAAAAATGCATTTTCTTGATGCATTGGCGTTCCAAGTATCGTGATACTTTAGTGACTCAACCCGAATATCACACTAAAATCCCACCTATGGACCAAGTATAAACCTTTAATGGGTGCAGTATAAGGCAAGTATGTTTAAATATCAACCCGGGCGGGCCCATGTAACCCTATTTCAATTGTTTGAAATATTATCTAGCGGAATGTTGTTTGTAAAAATCTCTACAATCTACTATTGAAAAGCAAGACTTGAAAAGTAAAAAGGGTTGAAACTCTTGGTGAGAAGCTTCACTCGGAAGTTGCTTCCTCCTAACTAACCACCATGACCCGTGGGATCGAATAAATCGTTGCACGACAAGGCAATTGCAAGCCGTAGGAGGTGCACAATGGTTAGAAACCATCCTCTCAATTGCTAGGCCAAGAAAAGCATTATAGGCTACAATTGTAGCCCTCTTGGCCCAAGCAATTGAGGATTGACTTACCTTCTCCCTCAAACCTAGGTTTGGATGGCTTAATCATAATTAAAATAGGTGTCTAATTCAAGTTTAGAGATTTTCCTTACATTGACCTGGTTTGGAGGCATGGAATGCCTAAGAAAACCCAGCCCAATTTGAGCCTCTTAATATAAGGGGGTTCCTCTTTAAGCTAGGTTAGAATAGCACAATAGATTGCCAAGCACACACAATGCACAATCACCATGAAAAATACCTCAAATCTTAAATTGAACACCACCCACACATAATCATTCAATCCACACAATCAACTACATGGTAGAAGTTATGGTTCTACAACACCCAAGTGAAAAGGGAGACTACTCCATGCTAGACAAAGGAAGAACACAAAGGAAAAAGAAAGAAACCATCAGTGTGATGCCTCCAGCTCTCCATGTGCTTGTAGAGATCCCCTATTGAAGAGAAACTTCCAAAATCTTCACTTGGAGCAAACCTTAGACTCTTCTCCCTCTTGGTTCGTGACTTTCTCTCTCTAGGTTTCAAGAAGAAGAAGGTTTCTATCACTTTGGGCTCCCCTTCTTCCTCCTTTAAGCTATCCATTTATACATAGATCGCGCCCAATTCACGGTCCCAGCTCATGGCCGTGAGCACATCCCAAAATGCGTCGCTTCATTTTTTGAGTTCACGGTCCATGGCTTCAGTACCCAGTCTTACGACAGTGAACTGCCTCAATGTCACCTCTGAAACTCCTTTGGATGACCTTCAGTTCATGGTTTGTGGTTCAAGTTCACGGTCCTGGCGACCGTGAACTCGCAGCTCTGACCGTGAACTGGGGCTGGATCCTTCTCTTTGCCTGGTCTTTGCGTCTTTTCTTCCAACTTTCGACTCGAGGGTTGGTTTCACATGTTAGACTTTGAAACACATTGAAACACAACAAACCTAGCGTAAAACCACACTTTTGGAGCTCAAATGCCACAAACACCAAAGGGAAACAGGGATAAAAAGTGTAAATTTAGGCACGAATCAAATATTAGTAATAATGAATCACTCATCAATCCACCCTCCTTAAAAGCAACCTCGTCCCCGAGGTTGATGAACAACTATGCAGATGTGAAGATGATGTTAGACGATGGTGATGACTTGATACGGCTTGAGCTTCCTGTACTTCCAATTGTGTAGGTTCAAGCGGATACCACCCAAGATGCATAATATACCAGCATCTTCAATGTTGAGTAGCCTAATTCTTCGTTCGCCCGCTTCCTGAACTTCCAATTCTTGGCGCAACCCTTGTTTATCCTCTTCTCCTTCCTTCCATTCTCCACCCCTCTTAAAGAATCTTATCCACGAGATTCCTCGGAATCGGAAAATCAAAATGGGTGAATTTTTCAGGGAAAAAAAACAAAATCATACCCGACGATAGGAGTCCTGGCTGCGACGAAGGCGGTCACTGCTTCATGAGAAATCCCCACGAAGTTGTTATAGGCAACCTCTTCTGCGGGAGTGACGGTGGTGGGACGAGCTTCATAGCGGTTGCGGAAGATGGCTCCTTAAATAATTTCGTGGCGTCAACCGCCTTTGCTTCCTCACCCAAACTTTTCAAGTAAACACATCGTCCTCGTTTCATGAAGTGCAACGTGAGATGTTCCCAATTGACACCCACCAGTTTAAGTTGTTTAAGCCATTGCACATCCAACACCATGTCAAGCCACTTGAACGACAACTCATAGAGATCTACCTTGAGGGTTTCAATTTTGATGGTGAGGTTTACGGCTTGGTCGCAGTGCATGCGGTCGAGGGACTCTCCATTGGTGACCTTGACCCAAAACGGATGAATTGGTGTGGCTGTCAAGGAAATGGCTTTGGCAACCTCGCCACTCACAAAATTGTGAGAAGCAAGTAGTTGACAAAGGCGACAAGATTCTCCTCCACGAGCTGAGCTAAGAATCATAGTATGGCAGGATGGGAGACCTTTGTTAGGGCGTGCAGTGAGATTTTGACGTCAGGCGGTTTGTCGTGCGGATCCAGCGGTGGCAGGAAACTTTCTGCGCCACGTTCAGCAACAACGCTAGCAGCGGGTGGTGGGGTAGCCTCTAGTAGTTCAACGAAGATGTTCAGCGTTGCCGGCCCTCAGAGCTTTAGCGAGCTCGATTCTGACGAGCCAGGCACTGATACCAATTAATGGATTGGTGTTCCAAGCATCGTGATACTTTAGCTAAATTACTCCTAATCCTAGATAAACATAACGATAAACTAGTTTATTCTTCTTCTTGTATATTAAAGTTGAACCACAAAGTACATATATAGAGGAAAACAACCCAAAAATCCTAAAAATAATCCAAACCCACTCGGCCAATTGCTTGGCCGCCACCCCTCCTATTCTCCTAATTCCACTCGGCCTGTGCCATTAATAAACCAAACTATCCCTAAACTACCCAAACCCCACAATAATAACCCTTATCTTATGCCTCTCAATAGTCTCATTTGACATGTGTTTAATCTTGTATACCCACTTAGATCCAATTGGTTTAACACTTGCTTGTGGTATTACCATATCCCAGGTTTGATTGGCTTTAAGTGGTTCTGACTCAGCAGTCAAAGCATTTCTACAACACACTCCTTACATGCTTCCTCATAACTCTTTGGTTTAACATAGTTCATAACACTTAAGACATATGTCTTGTGAGATTGAGGTAACTGATCAAAGGACAAAACATGTTTCATAGAATACTTACAATCAGCTCCAGAAAAGACATAATCTTTACGCCAAAAAGGAATTTGTTTAGTTCTATCATATTCCTTATCTCTGAGACCTAGCCTTCCTTAATATCTTCTTGAACACAGAATTCAGGTTCATCCTCCCTATCAGAATGCACACCAGACATATCAAACAACTCAGCCTCAGTACTGAAAGAGGGCTTAGGATTGCTAGGAGAAGGAGATGGAATAAGAAGGGGAGCATTCTGGGAGAAGTATAAGGTAAAGAAGAGAGAGAGGAATGGTGGTATAGTGATAGGAAAGATGGGATCAGGAACAGAAATCGGGTAAAATGTGTTCATAGAAGACCACATTGTGTGAAACATAGAATTGGTGGGAATTTAGATCAAATCATTTATATCCTTTAGTGCTAGATGGATAGCCAAGGAAGATGCATTGCCTAGCACGTGGATCAATCTTAGTTCTATCTCGGTGTAGAGAAGAGTCATAACAAAGACAACCAAATAATCTAAAATGACTAAGTGAAGGAGGTTTATGGTAAAGAAGCTCATAAGGGGAAACATTTTCTGTGATTGGAGATGTCATTTGTTGATTAATTACACAACATGAGCAATGCAATCACTCCAGAAGGAAAGAGGTAAGTTGGATTGAAATCGAAGTACCCTAGCTACATTGAGGATATGCTGGTGCTTCCTCCCAACTCGTGCATTATGTTCAGGGGTTTCTACACACAAAGTGTGATGCTCAATTCCATGTTCAGCATAGAACTCTAACATATGGAACTCACTGCCTTAGTCACTTCTAATGGCCTTACCTGCAGTGTTAAATTTTTTAGGCACCATGTCATGTAAGTGTTGTAAGAGCTCGCTAGCTTCAAATTTATGTTTCATCAGATAAGTCCAAACACTTCAAGTTCGATTATCAACCAAGGTAAGAAAATATGAAAATCCATCATGAGATTTAACTGCAAGAGATCCCCAAATATCCACATGGATAAAAGCAAATGATGAGTCTGCCCTACATTTACTAATGGGAAAGAAAGCTTTTTTTGTTTGGACAAATGACAAGTGGAATAGTGTTTGACATTACTCCTATTACAACCAAGAATTTTAAGCTCTCTAGCTTGACTTGGGTGACCTAATCTCCAGTGCCAAGCTCAAAGGAATGAGGCTAGAAATTGTAGGTGACTGCTACTTGAGGAAGAGAAGGAAAGCTTAGTGTAGGAAGGAGTTGATATAATCCTTTAGTCTGTCTTGCCAAACCAATATGGTTCTTTGTTAAGAAGTCATGAATATGACAAGAGTCGGATTCATAGTGCACAGAAATAGGAAGGTCATTGTAAGTTTACTAACTGAGATTAGGTTGAAAGTGAAGAGAGGAAAAGTAAAACCCTGTGTAGTGAGGCTTTAGAAGAGTTTTACTGATCTTGTAGACACCCCATTTTGTCCGGGTTGATACTTAATCAAATAGGAAACTTTATTTCGTTTGAGATTGACATTTGTGAATATTAATCGTCTTTTTATCTAATTCATTAAATTAATTCAAATTTTTAAGTGTTCACATCTTGGTATGGTTCAAAGTTGCACTGAATCTAGCAAATTCAACATCATAATGGTTAATTAATGTTTTGTTGCCATTGAGGTATAGGCATCAAAATTCATGTTAATCAATTCAATGGAGTTGCTTTAACATGGCGGATGACCACGTAAGGATGAGCTTTAATTTTGGATTGATTTAAGGATAATTTCTTTTATTGCAATTCTCATTAAATAATAATTACCAACCAATTATAATAAATTAGCAATTAATTGTACAAAAAAGGAAATGAGTAAAAATCAAACAAGTCAACCCACCCAATTAACAAAGCCAAGCAGGCCATATCAGCCCAAAGTCCAAGCACCACAAAAGTCAACTTGAGTCAAGGCCCAGTTAATAAAAGTCAACACTAGCCAATCCTAAACCCGGTACTGTGGACAACAGTACCCCCTACTGTCCTACTATCCTCAAACCTAATCACAAACCAACACTAACCAATACAACAGTAACGCCACAATATTTTTTTTTCTCTATAAAACAAAGGCTTGGGACAGAATTGAAAGGGGGGCACTCGACTGCTTCTTCTTCCTAAAACTCTGCAAAATTCTATGTTTCTCTGCTTTACTTAGATACTTAGCAGTTAGCACATACACAAATAACCTCCCAGGGAGACATCCTTTGAGACTTCCCTCTTTTCGTCTTCTCCTTCTTTGTTGGTTCTTCCTCTTAGAGCCCTTCCTACAAACACACACAAGCAACATAAACTCTCTTCTCCTTACTCTCACTTGCCTTTCCCCTTCAAAAAAGAAAATAACCAAAAACCAATAGAAAGAACACACACTAACACAACAAAATAGAGGGTTGTCCTCTTTCATTCCTTTTTTCTCTTTACATACGCGAAGAAACATCAGAGCTTTTGTTTTTCACCATCCACTTCCTCAAACACATAAATAAATAAACTCTCTTACCTTGTTAAACACGATAACATACAAGGCAAGCAGTACAAAGACAGCAAACACCCACAACATGCAAACATAAATCATATTATTCAACATCAAACGTCAACATTAAGGTTGGTAACCTCAAACATTCAGCCCTCGTCTTACATACATCTCATCATTATCATCATTTTTTACCTTTTTCTAGATCAACCCAAAAAACGTTTCAAAACTCTAATTCATGGGTGTTTTGGAAAGTATTTTCAAATAGAGTTCTTTTATTTAGTTTAAAGGGGCACCTCCTTTAATCCTCTCCTTTTCAAAACAATCCCAGCAAGACCAGATTTGCAAAACGCCATATTAACCCCAAAATAAACCATTCAACATTCCCTCTAATCAAATGATCAAGTATGAGTTTTTCAAACCATGAACCTCAACATCCAGAAACATGACCCTAAATACCGGTCCAAAACTCAAATCATTCCTAATTACAGAATTACCCCACACATCTAAACCCACCACTTTTTCCTTTCGTAAAAAACAGAACCACCCACCATATCCACAAACCAAAATAGTCCTTAATCACCAACCGAAATCACTCCCTAATCATACTAAGAAACTGAATTTAGGAATACCACCTTAAAACCCTTTTATTTAGAAACCTTCACCAAATAAGAAAACTATTCAGAAGCTGTGAAAAAAACAAAGAAAACCGTGAAAGAGTCTAAAAATCATTCTTATCGTCACTGCCGTTAGTAGAAGAAACCCTTGTCAGCCGACCACTCCGAACTTCTCGTTTCCCTTAGTTAAAAGCCAAAAATCCAAAAAACAAAAAACATACAATAGAATGGGCCAGAACTTAAAACCATCAAATTTCCTAAATCGGAATCCTAAACAACTGAAACCCCCCATAATAATCATACATACCCTTACAAATTAAAACCCACCGACACTCTCTCTGCCTCGTCGTCGTATGGGGCGGAAGCAATCCGTCTCCATCACCGGCGGTTCCCATCTCCTTCACCCCTTCCGCCACTCTCGCCAAAAACCACAACAAAAAAATAAAAACAACAAGGGTAAGAACCCTAAAAATCCCCAAAAATTAGAATCAAACCATGAAAACAAACATGCAAGTCTCAAATCTTGACTTACCGACGATTTAAGGACTGTATGGAGCATCATCGTTGCTTTCCTTTTGGGGTCTTTTCTTGAACGTATACCCTAGCCGCACAACTTCCTTTCTCTTCTTCTCTCCTTCTCGTTCTCTCTGGAAAGCAAAACGAAGCAAGGGAAGAACGAAAAAACGATCTCTTCTCCCACACTTCCCTTCTTTCGCCTCTCTTTCCCATAAATGAGAACTTTCCTATTTGATCTACTTCCTTCTCATTTCATCCTCCAATCTTCTACTTCTTACGCCTCTCTCGTGTTCTTTTTTGAAACCGAGAAAAGACCCCGAAAGGAAAGCAACGATGATGCTCCATACAGTCCTTAATTTGTCGGTAAGTCAAGATTCGAGACTTGCATGTTTGTTTTCATGGTTTGATTGTAATTTTTGGGGATTTTTAGGGTTCTTGCCATTGTTTTGTTTTGTTTTTTT